CCCGCTGTACTACTATGGCTCCGCCCCGCAATGTGAAATTTAAAAATCAAAATCCTATTGGTTAGGTAAGGAAAGGGCTCTAAAGCAGAACACTGATGTTCTTGGTGCCCTGCTGGGTCCTAGCATGGGAGGGAGCAAGCCCAAACAACCGCCTGGGAGGGGCCCCTTAGCACCAATGAGTGTGCGCCTTCCAAATAAAAAACATTATTTAATTGGTTTATAATGCCGTGTATGTACGTATAAGCCTTAGAGCTCCCGCCACCCAATGATCGGATGATGGATGAACTTCTGTCCTTTCATTCCCACGTTTCCCTCACCACACCATCATACTTTTCACCCTACAAGTTAACGTCAGTGATTTGTCGGTTGTGTTAGTGATTTTTTTTTGTTGTTGTTTCGGGGTTGGGGTGGGGGAGCACATCCAGCGGTGCTCAAGGCTTCCTCTTGGCTCTGTACTCAAGGATCCTTCCTGGCGGGGCCCGGGGGAATCATCTGGAGTGCCGGGATCGAACTGGGTTTGGACAGGAGCAAGACATGCATCTTATACCCGCTGCCCTCTCGCTGCATCCTAGTCTGAGTTCAAATACAATTGCATGAAGGAATCCAGTGCATCCCATATCCGTATAAACCACCTATGCATAATTTCTATCATTGCAATCATTGCACTTAGCACCCGGAATTAAAAATTAAAAACAAAAACAAAAACAAAGGGGCTGGAGCAATAGCACAGCGGGTAGGGCGTTTGCCTTGCACGCGGCGGACCCGGGTTCGATTCCCAGCAACCCATATGGTCCCCTGAGCACCGCCAAGGGTAGCTCCTGAGTGCAGTAACCCCTGTGCTTCGCCGGGTGTGACCCAAAAAGAAAAAAAAAAACAAAAACACCCCAAACCCAAATCTATGCACGCCCACGTCACCTGTGAGTTCCGTAAGCGCCAGATGCATCGTCTGCGTGGGAGCTCGGGACGCGGACGCCCCGCCCAGCGCTGCTCCCGGCCGTCCAATCAGCGCCGCGGCGGGGCGGGACGGAGCGCGCATGCTCGGCAGCTCGGCCGCGATTGGCTGGGCCGGCGCGGGAGCCTTGAGCGGCCGCCGAGAGAAGCCGAACGCGGCCGCGTCCGGGCGGGAGGTGGGCGCCGGGGCCGGGGAGCTGGGCCGGGGTCGACGCAGCCCGTGAGGGGGGAGCCGGAGGGTTCGGGGAGGGGGACGCAGCCCGTGATGGGGGGAGCCGGCGGGGCCCGTGAGGAGCCTGTGACGGGGAGGTAGCCCGTGAGAGGGAAGCCGGCAGGGCCCGTGAGGAGGATGCAGCCTGGGAGGGGGGTCTGTGAGGGGGGGATGGAGCCCGTGAGGGGGACGCAGCCCGTGAGGGGGGTCTGTGAGGAGGAGGGGATGGAGCCTCTGAGGGGAAGCCGCCAGGGTCTGTGAGGGGGGATGGAGCCCGTGAGGGGGACGCAGCTCGTGAGGGGGGTCTGTGAAGAGGAGGGGATGGAGCCTCTGAGGGGGAAGCCGCCAGGGTCTGTGAGGGGGGATGGAGCCCGTGAGGGGGACGCAGCTCGTGAGGGGGGTCTGTGAGGAGGAGGGGATGGAGCCTCTGAGGGGGAAGCCGCCAGGGTCTGTGAGGGGGGATGGAGCCCGTGAGGGGGACGCAGCTCGTGAGGGGGAAACAGCCTGTGAGGGGGAAGCAGCCTGTGAGGGGGATGCTCCCCTGCCCGTGCGGGGGAAACCGCCAAGGTCTGTGAAGGGGTTGCAGACTGTGAGGGGATGTAGCCTGTGAGGGGGATGCAGCTTTGAGGGGGATGCAGCCCGTGAGGGGGAAGCCGCCAGGGTCTGTGACGGGGGATGTAGCCCGTGAGGGGGATGCAGCCCGTGAGGGGGATGCAGCCCGTGAGGGGGATGCAGCCTGTGGGAGGGATGCAGCTGTGAGGGGGATGCAGACCCAGGGTCTGTGAGGGCGGAGTGTAGTCTGTGAGAGGGATGCTGGCAGGGGCGGCCCCGGAGGAGGATGCAGTTTGTGTGGGGGAAGTCAGCCCTGAGGGGGAAGCCGACGGGTCACGTCTTTCCCGCCCGCAGGGCTTCGGAAGTTCGGACTCCACCCCTCGGACACCAAACCCCCATCCTGCAAACCTCAACTGTGACGTGACCCACAACACTACGTGGTTGGAAGCTTTGTGGGGTTTTGGCTTTTTTTTGGCTTTTGTGTGTGTGTGTGTGTGTGTGTGTTTAGTTTTGTTTTTGGTTTCGGTTTCACCCGCTCTCAGGGGTCACTCCCTCAGGAATCACTGGTGGAGGCGCCCTCTGGGAGACTAGGGGCCGCATGGGATGGAATCTGGGCAAGGCAAACAGGCCCTCCCCGTGCCAGTCCACAGAAGCTTTGTTTGAAGAGCTTTAAGATTTCATGGAGATGTCCCCCAGAACACCCGTTTGTTTGTTTACCTTTGGGCCCCACTCTACTCAGTCAGGGCTTAAGCCCCTGAGGAGTAAGGGGGGGGGCGGGTTTCGAACTCCCGGCCCTGACGACCGAAGTTCCCCTTCCTAAGTGAGCTGACCTCTGCCGCTTGCCTCTCTGCAGACTCCCAACTCTTTGGGTTGCTCCAGGCTCCCTGTGCACCCACATGAAGGAATGCTGGTTAGGGGACAAGGAAAAGACACGACGGGGGTGGGAAGCTAGTTCTGATTCACAGGGTTAGTGTGTGAAACGAGCTGCCTGCTTTGTGTTGCTCTAACGTTAATCTAACGTTAACTTGCATGCTGAGGACTGTGAGGCTTCACTATATTCCCTGCTCTGGTTCTGTCATGGTGATGCTTAGACGTAGTTATTTGATTATATCCTTGATAGTTCCTTGGGGTGATTTCACAGGTGTGCAGTTTCCCAGTTAGTGCGGTAATTCTGATTCCCCATGTCCATCTTTGTTGCCTACCTAACAGTGTTTGGTGGAAACGCTGTGAACCGGAGTGTTGGCGACATCTCCTGCACAAGCATCAGCTATATATGATCCTTGTCTGCCCTGCCTAGTCCTTAGTAAATATATTAAGCGAAAGTTAAAATGTCTTATTCTGGTGTCTAAATTTAAGGTTTCATTTTTTCCTTTGTTGTTGGATCACACTTGACAGTGTTGGAGGTTTGCACGCTGCAGATTTATGTGGTGCGGGTATTGAAATGACTTCCTGCACGCAAGGGATGTGCTCTCAGGGCTGCAAATTCTCTCTCTCTCTCTCTCTCTCTCTCTCTCTCTCTCTCTCTCCACATCTGCTGATGCTCAAGGCTTACTCCTGGCTCTGCACTCAGGAATGACTCCTGCCAGTGCTTGGGGGACCATATGAGATGGCAGGGATCCAACCCAGGTTGGCTGCGGGAGAGGCAAATGCCCTATTGCTCCAGTCCAAGACTTCAAATTCTGCTTTTCAAATTAACTTTGATTTCCTTCCTCACTTCGCCAGTTCCTCTGTCGTGGGGGTTTGCACACTTGCCCAGCTGTGGTGCTTGCACAGCTGCATTGTGGAATTCATGGTGTTCACTCTTCAGGCCAGTCGCTTGGGTCTGGTGCTCACTGAGGTTTGTATTCCTTCCATTGTAGTGTGTGCACACTTGCACTCAAGGACTGAGTGGTGGTTGTACTTGTTGGGGTGGCCCAGGAGCTGACAGACATGCTCACAGACAGGGCTCACTGTTCTGGCCATGGCACGTGTACATCTTTATTTCGGTTGTGCTCACCAGTTACTGCATTCCTTTCTGTGCTGCACACACATGGCTGTGATGAGGTCAAAAATTGCTTTCAGCTCTCTGGGAATCATAGGCGCTGTCAAATGGGAGAGCTGTCAGGATCACTCTTGGCATGTGTGGTGCATTGTGGATTTCAGCTCATCACCATATACTTACACGGTTCAGGACCCGGCACTATTCCTTCTGGTCCAAGATTTTACTTTTCTTTTTTTTCCCCCTTTTTAACCACACCAGGAACTTCATCAGTGCTTACTGCTGCCTCCAGGCTCAGGTATCACTCCTGGTTGGGCTCCTAGAGCCCTATTGGATGACCACATGCAGAACAACCACTGCTATACTATCCAACACAAATCTCACTATTCAGAAAGGATATAAAATAATAAAAATAAATTGAATTATAAACACGTCATTTAAATTATAAGAATATTTTAAAAAATGTTACAAAAAAGTTTGTTACAGTGATTGGTGCAACTTACAGAATGATGAAGAAATAAGCATAGTACCTACGTCATGTAATTTATATATTCATTGAATAAACCAAAAGGTCCATGAGAATATTTTCTTTGATTTTTGCAAACTTCCATGAAAGTCTGTCATTTAGGGGCTAGAGAGATAGCACAGCGTGGAGGGCATTTGCTTTGCGCGTGACTGACCCAGGTTTGATCCTCAGCATCCCATATGGTCTACTGAGCATCGCCAGGAGTATCTCTTGAGAGCAGAGCCAGGAGTAACCTCTGAGCATCGCCAGGTGTGACCCAAAAAGCAAAAATAAATAATCATTTAATCTGTAATCTTATGAAAATTAAAGTATGTTCAAATTTATGTCATCCTATTTAAATCTTTGACCGTTCCAATATCCCTTTATGATAGAAAGTAAATTTTTTTTTCCTATTAAGTTTCTTTCTTTTTTTTTTTTTTTTGCAGGGGGCCACACCTAGAAATGCTCAGGGTTTACTTCTGGTTCTTAGGGGTCACTCCTGGCAGGGATCGGGGACAATAAGGGGTGCCAGGGATTGAACCTATGTCTGCCCCATGCAAGGCCAGTACTTGCCCTCTTGCACTGGGTTTGGGGGACTATATGGGATGTCGGAAATAGAACCCTGGTCTTGTGCAAGGCAAGTACCCTACTCTCTGTACTATCTCTAGCCCTGTATTAAGTTTACTTTCTAAGGCTTTTTTAGAGCGTTATTTTATTATATTTTTAAAGATGTGATAGTAATGAGTAGTCAGACTTGTGAATAATTTTTTATTGGATATTTTTCAGGTTGATCCTGCCAAAATATGAGACGGTCTGCAGCACCCAGTCAGTTGCAGGGGAATCCCTTCAAAAAACCCAAATTTATACCACCTGGAAGAAGTAATCCAAACCCGAATGAAGAGATTGTGAAGCTGAATTCAGATAGAAGACTATCTGAGGTAAAATAATAATATCACGGTCCTCCCGTTGTTCATCGATTTGCTCGAGCGGGCCCAGTAACGTCTCCATCAATGAGACTTGTTACTGTGTTTGGCATATAGAATAATAATAATATAATAATAATAATAATAATAGGAGCATGAGCCAGAGAGAGTGCACAGTCGGCTGAGCACATGGTTTACATGCACGTGACCTGAGTTCTAGCCTATATACCACATGATTCCCAGAGTACGGCCAGGAGTAACCCTGCATACAGCTGGGAGTAACATCTGATTTTTTTTTTTAAAGGAAATAAAGAGTTGACTACATAATAGATGATAAAAATTTTGTGTCTGGCAGACCCTTCCAAGATTTTAATAACTTTTTTTAAGAAATGATACTCAATTTGGTCTATAACACAATCTTTTGGTGAGGTTAGCAATACTTCTGTGGCTGGAGAGATAAAGTACAAAGATTAAGGTGCCTGGCTTGCATTCCCACCAACAATGGATGAGAGTTCCTTCTTTCCACCCCCTACGTCCAGGTCAGCACTTGTTGTTCTTGTTCTTTTTGGTATGTACCAGTCTCTGTGTTGTGAGATGGTAATCTCGTTTTGATTTGCGTCTCCCTTATGATTAGTGATGTGGAGCGTTTATTTTTTTCACTTATCCTTTGTGCATTTGTAATTCTTCTTTGAGGAAGTTTCTGTTCATTTTTTTTCCTCCCCATTTTTGATGGGGTTGGATTTTTCTTTTTTTTATTTTGTAAAGGTCTACCAGTGCCTCATATATCAGATAAGGATCCTCTTATCTGATGGGTACTGGGCAAATAATTTTTCCTATTCTGTGGGCAGTCCTTTGTGTATGTGATTTATTGTACCAGAGCATTGTGGTTTGAAAAAATGTTGGATATTATCTGTATCTGCATGATTTTATGGGCACTTGTTTTCCCAGCATGCAGGACATTTCCAGTGTGCACTGGAGAAGAATTTGAACTTGGCTGTTTTGGGGGTGGAGGACTGTATAGATGTCTATGAATCCCCACCCCCTGTTCTTATATACCTATCTTTAAGGTCAATATTTCCTTATTGATTTTTTAAATGTTGTTGACAACATTGACGAGGAATACGATCGACTGGTTCAGCACCTCCATGAATGTGCGAGGAACGCCAAGAGAGAGATAGCCACAAAAAATCGCCTATCTTCGAAAACTCTTGAGCTAGTTCGCCAGCGTGGTTTGGCGCATGCCTCAGGCAACCGCAAGCTAACGTCCGAGCTCGCAAAGCAGTGCAGAGATGCGATCAAGGAAGACCTCAAAGAGAGAAGAGCAGAAGTACTGGTAGATGTGGCAGAAGCTGGGAAAAGTATTCGTAACGCCCGCCTGTCCTTCGCCAACTACAAGACCAAGATGACTGCCCTCCGACGTCCTGATGGATCCATCACATCCTCCAGAACGGCAATGGAGAAGATTATCCATGACTTCTACTCAAATCTCTTCGATAGCCATGTCCACTTGCCGACATACCAAATTCCACAGGATGGGTATGTCGTTCCCAATGTTCTCCCTTCCGAAATCCGACACGCCATTTCGTCGGTAAAGAAACAAACAGCACCCGGCCCAGACAAGGTCAGACCTGAACACCTGAAGAACCTGCCGTCAGTACTCATCAATACACTGGCTCGGCTCTTCACTCGCTACCTGTCTGAATGCAAGGTTCCATCTCAATGGAAAACCAGCAGGACCGTACTACTGTTCAAGAAGGGAGACATCCATGACATTGGCAACTATCGCCCGATCTGCCTATTGTCTGTCATCTACAAGTTGTTCACTCGAGTCATCCTAAATAGGATTGGCAGAACACTAGATGAAGGACAACCATGCGAGCAAGCCGGGTTCCGCAAAGGATTCAGCACCATCGACCATATCCACACGATAACCAAGCTCATTGAGGTTTCTCGGGAGTTCAAGATGCTGCTCTGTTTAACATTCATTGATTTAAAGAAGGCCTTTGATTCTGTTGAGACGGAAGCGGTCATTGAAGCCCTAGCCAATCAGGGCATTCAAGCCCAATACATCAGGATCCTCCGTGAGCTGTATTGCGGATTCACTACCAGGATCTCACCATTCTACAAAGAAGTGATCGTTGATGTCAAGAGAGGGGTGCGGCAGGGTGATACCATTTCACCAAAACTCTTCAGTGCCACCCTCGAGAACATCATGCGACGACTGGAATGGGAAGGAATGGGAGTGAAGATAGATGGTCGGCAACTACACCACCTCCGCTTTGCTGATGACATTGTTTTAATAACACCAAACATCAGCCAAGCGACACAAATGCTGACCGACTTTGACCGTGAGTGTGGAAAGGTAGGACTACAGCTGAATCTTACGAAGACAATGTTTATGAGAAACAGCCTTGTTCCTGACGCCCCATTCGCTCTCAATGGAACTACCATCTCCGAATGCAACAGCTATGTGTACCTAGGTCGAGAGGTCAACATGACAAATGACCTGGCACCCGAGCTGCGCATGAGGAAGAGAGCGGCTTGGAACGTCTTCAAGAACATCGAAGAAATAGCTAAGAGGACGAAGAACCTCCGGCTCCGGGCACATCTCTTTGATTCCACTGTTCTTCCTGCATTAACATATGCCTCAGAGACCTGGGCCCTACGCAAACAAGATGAGAACGCCATTCAGGTCTCCCAAAGAAGAATAGAAAGAGCTATGCTTGGAATATCACGTTTCACTCAAATGAGAGAGAGAATCCGGAGTTCTGACATCCGTCGACGATCAAGAATCAGGGACGCTGTCTCATATGGCAAGGTGTCGAAAATCAGATGGGCTGGTCACGTAATGAGATTTAAAGACGACCGCTGGACTAGAGCTGTTACTGACTGGATTCCACGGGATGTCAAAAGACCGCGTGGCCGCCCACCTTCCAGATGGTCAGACTTCTTCGTCAAGATCATGAACAATCGGTTTGAGGCCCTTCATGTTCCCGGAGCGAACAGATGCCATTGGGCTACACTAGCACGCGACAGGGACAAATGGAGACGTTACTGGCGCCCGCTCGAGCAAATCGACGACTAACGGGAAGTTAAGTGATTAAGTGATTTTTTAAAGAAAATCTGGTTAATCTTTTCAGTGTTTGGGCATGGTGTTAAATTCTCCTGCTATTGTTTCAGTTGATTCCTGCCTACCTGCCTGCTTGCTCCTCTCCCTGGGGCTGTCAGCTCCTGGTTCTGTGCTCAGCAGTCACTCCTGAAACTAGGTGGTGCCTGATACCGAATCAGAGTTGGCTACATGCAAGACAAGCATCTTATTTCCTGTGCTATCTCTGCAGCCCCTATGTACTTCTTTAGACCTGTTAGTGGTTGTTTAATGTATTTTTGAAGCTCTTTCATTTGGTGTATATATGTTAATGGATGATTAGTTTTCTCTATGTAGTGATTCCTCATTATATAATTTCCATCTCATTTTTTTCTCAGTTGTTCTTGATTAGTGAGTAAAGACGATTGACATTAAGCAAAGCAATTGAAGTAAAGGGGTTTATTGGCATTTAAAAAATCAAGTTCTGGGTGGCTTGAACCTGGGCCTTGCAGAGTACACGCTAGCATGTTGAGCTGTCTCTTCACCCATCTCCCGATTCTTATACCCAAAGTGCCACACAGATCTCCCAGGGCTAAGGAAGAGCAGTAACTTGAAAGGGTGTATTAGTTTGCGAGATTTTAGCTGTTAGCTTTCGGCTTTCTAGGTGCAATAGCATTCACTTGCATTTCTCGGCTACTTACATATCTATTTTTTGCTTATGAGTGCCTGCTTTCCTATTCAGTGCCGGCCATAGGGTCCAGAGAGATGGTACAATGGGTAAGCTGCTTATTTGCCTATGGCTGACCCAGGTTTCATCTCTGGAACACCATGCGCGTCCCTCCAAGCTCGCCAGGAGTGATCCCTGAATGCAGTTAGGAGTAAGGAAGCCCTCAGCGTTGCTGAGCCGTGGAGTCCCTGAAACCAAGGCCAGCAAGGGTAATTTGAACCCTCATGTTGCTGTCTCTCTGGTTAGTTGTAACTGGACTCCTTTGATTACATTGGATAATTAGGATGCCCTCTCTGTCTCTGGGTCCTTAACCTAATTACACCTGTAAGTCTTCTTTTACTTTTTGAGGTTACATATTTACAGATCTAGGGATGCCTGGATGCCCCCTGGTGGTGCTCCTGGTCCTCCAGGGACATGCCTGGGGAGAGAGCCAGGGTTGGCTGGCCACTGTTGACAGTTTGACCCTGATGTTCGCTTTTTATTTTTATTTATTTTACTTTTTTTGCTTTTTGGGTCACAACCGGCGATTCACAGGGGTTACTCCTGGCTCATACACTCAGGAATTACTACTGGTGGTGTTTGGGGGACCATATGGGATGCTGGGAATCGAACCCGGGTCGGCCACGTGCAAGGCAAACACCCTACCTGTTGTGCTATCACTCCAGCCCTCATGATGTTCACTTTTAAAATCTGAGCTATTTAAATAGTGTTCCTAAATATTTGGGTGCATTTTTTCATATTTTATTTCTCTTGTGTGTATTCCCAGAAGCAAAATTGTTGGCTCCTATAAAATTTGTGTTTAATTTTTTTTAATGAACTCTTTAATGACTCTTAATCCAAAATGCCTGCACTGTATTCATGCTCACCTCCATTATTTGAAGACTTTTGATTTCTCCATGTTTTCTACACCATGTTTTCTACACTCACATGTTTTTTTTTTTTTTGGTTTAGCTATACTGTTGGGTGAAGAAGTCTCTCGTATCTGGTTTTGATTTGCGTTTCCCTAATAACTGCTATTCTTGATGATTATTTCTTTGGGGGAGGGAGGACGTATTCTTGGAACACCTGGCAATGCTCACGGTTTACTCCTGGTTTTGCACACAAGAATTACTCCTGGTGGTGCTCAGGGGACCATTTATCTGGGATGCCAGTGATTGAACCTGGGTGAGCAAGGCAAGCACCCTACTTGCTGTGCTATTGCTCCAGCCCTTCCTATTTTATTTTCTAAGGGTGGTGAAGTTTGTGCCATAGTGTTTGAGGGCTACTTCCTGCTTGGGGGTCACCCCCATCGGTGCTGGGGAAGAAAGAATGTGGGCCTTAACCCCTACATGATTGTTTTTTGCATGTGCTTATTAACCGTTTATGTGTCCATTTCAGAGGATCATCTATTTATGTTCTTCTTGATGTCAGATTATTTGCCTTTTATTATTGAATTTTCAGCATTTATGTATTCCAGGTACAGGTTCCTATGAGATCAACAATTTGCAAATGCCCGCTCAAGTCTTTCTTTTATTCAAAATTTTGTTTTTGTTTTGGGGCCACTCCTAGCTCTGTGCTCAGGTCACTCCTGGTGGTGCTCAGTAGACCATATGGTATTTTGGGAATCAAACCCCATCGTCCAAGGCAAGCACCCTGCCCACTATACTATCGCTTCATCCCCTGATTTATTTTCCACTTCTACCTTCTCTCTATTGAGGTTTCTGTTGTGATGACCAAGGGTCACACACATGCTTGGTTGCAGGAGCCGGGGTGATAGTATAGTGGGTATGGCAGCACTGTAGTATAGTGCTGCCTTAGTATAGTGGGTAAGCCGGGGTGATAGTTCAGTGGGTAAGGTACATTGCACACAGCCAACCTGAGTTGGATTCCCAGCATCCCATCTGGTCACCCAAGCCCACCAGAAGCAAACCCTGAACGCAGAGCCAGGAGTAAGCCTGGAGCACTGCTGGTGTGGCTCCCAAACCAAATGGCATCAACAACAACATGAAAAAAGTAAAAAAGCCTTGTGTGTGGTGTTTGCACATGTGGCTGTGGTGCTCACCAGGAGGCACACACTTCGTTTCGAGTCTTTGCACATGTGTATTCTGGGACTAGCTGCCATGCTCATGCACATTCTGGTCTGAGTGCTCCGAGGTGGTGCTCCTGCTTGTGGGGCCATCTGGGGTGGCCCCTTTGGTTGCAGTGCTCATACCTGGCTCGGCACCAGAAGCCGGGCATCCTTTTGGTGCTGGCGTCCCAGAGCTTGGCACACGCAGGCAGCACTGGAATTCATCTATATTTGCTTTTCAATTTACTTAAGTTACTTTGCTACTTGGATCTATAGAAACTGGTAGCTTTACTTTAAGCTCGGACACTTAGTTTGGGCATTGGAAACTGGATTTAATTTTGGTATAAAATATGTATTTCACTCTTTCAGGATGCTACGAACAATACTATCCTTCAGTCACAAAATAATTCCAGAGTAAGCAGTTTAGAACTCCCTGCTGGAGAAAATACTAGGAAATTGGATCATGGGGAGCGGTACAGTGGACAGTCCTCTTTAGAAGCCTCTTCAATGACAATAGCAGATGTACCTCGGACAGGTAAGGTTCACTTTACTTTTATCAGGTTTATGCTTGACTGGTTGTATTATAGTATTATTCAAATGGATTATTTTTCAGAAATAAATATGTTATATTTGAAAGTTACTGATGTAATAGCACTAGATTGTTGGCAGTTTAGATTTTTTGTTCAAAGTTTGTCTTTAAAGACCAAATTAATAACCATGTAATTAAAGTCTTCAATTTTATAATCGGTGTGTATAGAATATTTGTCGCTGTAAACCTATAGATTTGGTCCAATATGTGTTATTTTCCTCTGTATGAAAATACATTGTATTTACCAATTTGATATAGGGACTTGGGGCCGGGTCAGTGGTGCCTGGGTCCCCGCCTTGCAGGAAGCAGTGAATAAGTCCCCTCGTACTCCTGAATACTGGCTGAAATCACAGTGCCAAGATAGAAACGGAAACTTTGGCATGTCACTACCAACTGTGTGAGGGCTGTGTGTCACCCCTGGGTGTGATCCCCGTCACTGCAACAACACAGCAGAGGGAAGGGAAGTCGGGGCAAAGGTGTGATCAAAAATATGTCTGGTTCTTTTTTTTCCCCCCTTAATTTAAACATCTTGGTTTACAAAGTTGTTCATGATATTTGTTACAGGCATTCAGTATTCCAACACCAATCCCACCACCATTGTCTTCATTTTCCCAACTACACCCGAAGCCTGCCCCCATAGCAGGCCTGCACTAATTTGTTTTTTTATTGCTTGTTGTCACTAAATGGCTAACAGGATGATAAAAAAATATTCCAGTAGAGGAAAATTTGTAAAAATTGTATCTTACCCTGAGGACTTCACACCACGTCTGAGGGTTTACCAAGCTGTTGTTGCAAGCCTGTGTGTTAATGTTTTTGTTAGCTGACATTGGTTGACTTTGTTAGTTTGACATTGGTTGACTTCTGCGTTTCATCCCATCCAATCTGATGTGCTGCTACTGGGATGTCAGTGTTGTAGAGTTTGGGTATTCGTGGCTGCATGCTCCAGAAAATCCAGAATATTAAACTGGGTAATCTGGTCAGAGGCATGGTGGGAGATTTGGGTTGTGGGAGCAACCGCCGGGCTTTGTTGTGGTGGGAATTTGGTCCGTCCCCATTCGAGAGTGCCCAGAATCCTCAGCTGGGAATGGTAACTCAGAAAATTTGCTGCTAATTGATCTCCTTGGAGATTTCTTAAGAGTCTCTGGAACAAGGCCAGTACATGAGCTTACGTGTGGTGGCGGTGGAGTTGTGGGCTTTGTCTGTTTTGTTCTGAGGTCGCACCTGGCAGTCCTCAGGGGTTGTTCCTGGCTGTTTGGAAGTCACTCACTCCTGGGTTGTGCCAGGGACCAGACAGTACAGAATATCGGACTCAGGCCTCTGGATGCAAATCATGCTCTCCAACACATTGGACCGTCGTTCCAGCCTTTAATTAAAAATTTTTGTTTGTTTGTTTTTCTTTCTTTCTTTTTTTTTTTTGAGTTTCTGAGCCACATCAGGTAATGATCAGGGATTAGTTACTCCTGGCTCTGCGCTCAGGAACTACTCCATATTGGATGCTGGGGATCAAACCCTAATAGACCACAGGCAACGCAGGCACCCTACCTGTTGTACTCTTGCTCTGGCCCCTGATTACACAGTTTTCAAATCTAAAATATATGAAGTCTGGGGAGATAGCTCTGTGGGCTGGACCGCATGCCTTGGATTGCAGGACTGATCCTCAGATCAGGCCCGGTACCACGTGACTCCTGAACAATGCTGGGGGACCCTGTTGCTCCTGAACGCTGGGGGTGCAGTGGGGCTGGTGGCCCGGGGTCTGAGCAGCAGTATGTGGGACTGAGTAATTACCTTCAAGGGGTGTGACCTCAGGCTGCAGAGCACTGCTGGGAAAGGCTCCTCCCTCAATAAATAGGGTTTTGGGAAATAGCTCAAAGGGCTGAGAGCAATCTTCGCTGTAAGAGCCCCAGGTTCAACCTTCCACCACCCACATGGACCCCCAGCACCCTTGGGTTAAAAAATAAGCAGTGGTAATAAATGAAATGAGTAAAATCGTTTAATTTACTATCTTCATTGAACAGCTTCAAATCTGTTAAAGTGAAAAAAGGAAGGTGTAACGTTTCAGAAAAATCATTTAACAAACTCCTCCATTGTTGAGTCAGTTACTGATCATAATTCTTTTTTCCTCCTGTAAGAGATCAGAATGTCAAAGGCAACATTCAGACTATAATTTACCAAATTACATCTTGTGTTTTTTTTTTTTTTGCACCACACCCAGTGGTGCTTAGTGGCTGCTCCCAGCTCAGTGTTCAGAGCTCACTCCTGCAGTACTTGGTGTGTTTGAGCCTCTGCATGCTAAGCATATGCTCAGTTTATCAAGCTGCTCTCTCTCTGTCTCTCCCCACATCTCTCTCTCTCTCTAACACACACACACACACACACACACACACACACACACACACACACACAGTAAAAGAGTAAAGAGCCTGTTTGGTCTATATATCACACACACACAAACACAAACATATATATGCACACAAAGTAAGGAGCTTGCCTGCACATGCACACATGTGCACACACACATGCACACACACATGCACACAGTAAGAGCCTGTCTGTTCTATAGAATAGTAAATGCCTTCTTCATGATACTGTTCAGAGTGGATTCAGTGATTTGTGCTAGCCACCGCCCCTTCCTTCCTTCCTTCCTTCCTTCCTTCTTTCCTTCCTTCCTTCCTTCCTTCCTTCCTTCCTTCCTTCCTTCCTTCCTTCTTTGTGTGTGTGTGTGTGTGTGTGTGTGTGTGTGTGTGTGTGGGCCATACCTGGTGGTACACAGGGACTGCTGCCAACCCAGCACTTAGGGGTCCCTCCTGGTGATGCTTGTAGGACCACATGGTGGGTAGAACCTGGACTTTTTTACGTGCAAAGTTTGCACTCAATCCTTGGAGCTCACTCTCATGTTAGCCCTTGAAGGAAGTTTTTTACTTTGTGATGATCAATATATTTTAACCTCTGAATAGGTTCCCTTATTGACAAAATTTTGTATTTTCCCCACTGGCCAGTCCCTTAATGCTATTTATGTGCCCTGATATCTTTCCTCATAGTGCTATTTATGTGTCCGGATAACTTTCCAAAAGCTGTAACTGGTGTCAGGGCAAAGTTCAGAGGATCTTGTGGAGTCCTGAGCAAATGCTTGGGGTTATTTCTGTGGCAGTGTAATTGTTACTCTCTCTGATGATAGGCTTTCTCTTTCTTGCTTCCTGCTTCCCTCCCTCCCCCTTTCCTTCCTTGTTGTTAGGTGAATCTGCTCTTTGCCTGGTTTCTCTCACAACGGTCAAATCTGTGGCAGAAAATGATCATTGTTTACTCCTTGACCCACCAGCATGCATCTTTGTTTTTCATGGCAGCTGATCATCTTTTTTTTTTTTTTCTTTTTGGGTCACACCCGGCGATGCACAGGGGTCACTCCTGGCTCTGCACTCAGGAATTATCCCAGGCGGTGCTCAGGGACCCATATGGGATGCTGGGAATCTAACCTGGCTCGGCTGCTTGCAAGGCAAACGCCCTACCCGCTGTGCTATCACTCCAGCCCCGGTAGCTGATCTTACCAGAGAATGATGATATTAGACTCTAGAAAATATTATCTTATGTTGCTGATTTTGGACTTACTGTGGGTTGTGCTATACTTTCTCACATTGAAATATTTGTGTATTTCTTCATTCTTCCCAAGGATCTAAAAGTCTTAGAAGTCGAGGTCAACCTTTTTTGTTTCGTTTTTGTATTGAACTACCCTCACTGGTGCTCAAGGATGACCTCACTTGGAGTTTTGTGGAGGAGTTTTGGGTGGTCACTCCTGGCTGTGCTCAGGGAACTGTGCTGTGACCTCTTGCATTCAAAACGTACACTTAACCCAAGTACCTGTTGGTGCTGCAACACCAATTCAGTCTATTTCTAAGCACCGGTTATATTAAGAGTTTTGCAAGGTTTATAATTTTAAGTTGAATTTTAATTCATGTATTCACGTGGTCTCCAAAGAAACTTTGATATTACAGTTAGTTCTTAAAGAATATTTGAAGTTTTCCACATACATATTCATCTCTTTCCTCTTTGGTAATAAATGTCCGCACCCTTGAGCAGCTATGTGGGTTTCTGAAATAATTCACCAAGTATATTTTAGGCAGAGGGAAACTTTATTAACTTGCAAAGTAAGGGCAAGTGACCTTTTCTCTGGTCAGTAAGAAGAGCCAGTGTTGTCCTTTGTCAGGGTGGATACTCCCTTTTTTTTTTGGGATGTGAACCCCAACCTCCGGGAGGCCGTTTATGTGACTTAGGCCCAGTGGTCAGGCTGAGGATGGTGTCTTCTTTTTGGTCGGAAGCTGCCTGCATCCTGCTGATAAGTATTTTGCTGATTTGCTGTAAGTTAACTTCTGGGATCCCTGGTATGGATCTGGGTTTGGAAACAGAAGCCTGCTGAGACTCCCTGGAGGGCAGCCTGGGTCTTATCTCTATCTCGCTGGTTGTCTGCAGTTTATGACCTGACTCTTCTGGTGGGTTCCCTGCTGGCTTCCTGAAGCTTGGTTTGTGCCTGGGAACAAGGAGTTTGTTCAACAGTTTTTGTTTTGGAAATAGATCACCCCTTAGCTTCAAAATGAAAGTTCTGCCCTACACACATCAATAAATTTTTTTTTTTAACCTCGTGCCCTGTATTTGCACTCCCAAGTAAAGGACCAACATTTTTATTATTTCCTTAGACTCTGCCAGAAAGAAATATTGGGCTAAGGTAAAGCCCATCAGCTATCTCTCGAGGCTCTGTGCTCAGGAATCGTTTCTGGCAGGGCTCAGGGGACTTTATATTATGCCGGGGATCGAACTCGGGTTGGTCATGTGCAAGGCAAGTGCCCTACCCACTGTACGATCTCTCCTTTCCCCCCCATTTTCAGTTTTTTAAGGGACACCCCCCATACCATTTTCTGTGGAGTCTGTTCCCCTGTCCAGAATCACAATAGCATACCAGGATTTCTTTTTCTTCATACACTCAACATCATTTGTTATTTTCAATCTTAATTTGACAAAGGCCATTCTCATAGGTGTGAAGTGACATTGAATTGTGTGTGTGTGTGTTTGTTGTTGTTTTTTGGAGGGGGGCATCCTGCTGTGCCCAGGGCTGACTCCCGTCTCTGCACTCAGGAATTACTCTTGGCGGTGCTTGGGGTAACATATGTACTGCCCGGGACTGAACCTGAGTAGGCTGCATGTAAGGCAAACCACCCTGCCCGCTGTACCAATGCTCTGCACCCCCTTCCCCGAGCCTCCATTGTGACTAACGTTTCTTTAATGATGTGATATTAAACAATTTTGTCCTGTTGTTGTGGGCCATCTGTTTGGATTCAATCTTTGGAGAAGTGTTTGTTTAGATCATTTGCTCTCTTTTTGATTAGATTGTTTATATTGTTTCTGTTGTTAGCTTGTGTGACTTCTTCATATTTTTTTGGTTATTGTTGTTTTTTAAAATATTTCATTTATTTTTTTATTGAGTTCTGTGCTTTGTAATGTATCACTGATAGTTTCCATGCACACGATTCCAAAACCACACCCTTCAGCAAGAGATGTGGATTTGATCATCCCCTAATCTAGAGCTGCAGCAACAAAACAGTGCCAATGTTTAATGAGGATGTGGAGCAAAATTCATTCGTTCATTGCTATGGGGGCCAGGGAAAGAGCAGAGAGAAGGGCTTTTGCCTTCCACATCTCCCCCTGGGTTGGATTCTTACTGGGCTGGATGCGCATGGCTGAGGGTGCCCCTCTAACGACAGTTGGTGTTCATCATTTCACTCCATCTGGGCCCAAGTCCACAGCACTTGGGAGGCCTTCCACTCACCGACCCTGTCGGCTTCAGGTGACCTGCTGGGCTGCTTGCGGACAGCCGAGCATCCTCGAACTGCAGTTGGTGTGCATCCTTTCAGTCCTTTTTCTCAATGGTGGGCGGTGGGCCTTTGGGCCCGTGTATGCTCTCAGGATGCTCTGAGGGGGGCCACAGGTGAAAACCATGTAACTGGGGATGGGAGGGGAAGAGAGGTCACAGCATGAGACCAGGGAACCAAACAGTACCAACAGACTTGGGCCCAGATGGAGTGAAATGATGAACAGTAGGACAGTGGGACCGGAGAAGGAAACTGGTCAGGAAAAAGGCTGAGAAACACAGGCTCTTAGGCCTTCGGTCACACTTTTTTGTTGTTTATTTTGGGGCCACACCTGGCAATGCTCAGAGGTTACTCCTGG